CCTTGCGATACGACCCGGTGTTGAATCTTTCGATTCTACTCCGGTAAAAATACTCTCAACAAAATTGGCGCCGTTGCCGGGGAAGGTTTAGGATTATTTTGTGCGCCTATTCATTTTATTTTCAGTGTTTCTCTTCGTTTTATTTTTCTAGTTTATTAGTTCTTGATTTTATTTGTTCTTTGTTTTTCTTAGGTTTCTCTTCTTTGTTTATCTGGTGCTCGTGATGGTTTCTTGTCATTGTGTATGCGTACCAGGAGTGGACGCAAACTACTATCTCCAATCAACAAATCTGTCAACGAGAGCCTGAGGGAGCTGCTGGAAGAGCTTACTCTGGAATCGCAAGGGGAAGACGGACATTCTCCTAAATCATCCGAAGGCAGCAACCTCGATATGGGGGAACGACAGCAACAAGCTCCCCGTAACACTCTTCGAACTTTGGCCCAGCCGGTTATCGGGCCAGTCACTTCATGCATCCGTTTGCCGGACGCTGCTCGGAACTACGAGCTTAAAATGATTCATTACAATCAGTTGTCGGCATTCCACGGGCTTCCAAGTGAGGATCCACTCAACTGCATCCGAGAATTTTACAATGTCCTCAACACTTTCCCTCTCAATGACCTTGATGACGAGCAGTTGAAGCTGAGGTGTTTTCCCGAGACTCTGAAAGACCGGGCCAAGGCCTGGTTCATGACACTTGCACCCGGTTCTCTCACTACATGGACTGAGGTGTATTCGAAGTTCATTGGGAGGTATTACTTCCATCAGAAGACTCAAGAGCTCCGGTCACAGATCGTCTCGTTCGCTCAATTACCGAACGAGTCTCTTCATGAGGCTTGGGAGCGGTTCAAGGATCTCCAACGGCAGTGCCCCCATCACAACCTCTCTTCGGGGCTACTCATGAACTGTTTCTATGATTCCCTCCACCAGAACTTGCAGTATATGGTCGACAACGCGGCGGGAGGTGATATCGGAGCAAGAACAGCCGAGGAGATGTTTGAGATCTTTGAGACCATGAGTACGAACTCGTCCCAGAAGAGCACGCGAGGCAAGAGGGCAGTGGTGAACGAGGTCGGTACAAGCAATGAGGCGGTGGCACAACAGCTAGCTGAACTTACTGAGCAGATGAGGCTGCTTACCGCACGAGGGTCTCAGCCGGTTAATACATTCGCTATTGATACTTGTGGGGCGTGTGGAGTCCCAGGGCATAGGTCCGAAGTATGCCCCTCATCTTTCGAGCAGGACCCCAGTGAGCAGTATGCGGATGCCAGTGCCTTACAAGGATATCAGAATCGGCCAGCCAATGACCCATATTCCAACACATATAACCCAGGATGGCGGAACCACCCGCACTTCTCGTGGTCAAACAATTCCAACACCCTTCAGCCACCCCGTCCGAACTTCATGCAACAACAACCTCGACCCAGTTTTGTGCCCTGGCCGAACTTTCAGCCACAGCAGCCACAGCAACAGCAGAGGGGACCAGAAGCGGGGTCGAGCTCGAACCTCCATGAGGACGTTGCCAAGATCCTACAGTTCATGCGAACAGAGAGCAGCGGGATGTCAATCAGGACGCCTCCATCAAGCGCATTGAGACTCAGTTGGGCCAATTGGCCGCTCGGGTGGGTACAACTGAGACTGAGAGGAGCAAAGACAAGCTACCCAGTCAGCCTAAGCAAGCAAAAGCTATAACAGTTCTTAGAAGCGGGAAGGAGGTGGACAACAAGGTT